TCATATTTCGTTCTAAACCAAATATGGAATCAGTAATTTTTACCCAGTATTCCCAGTAATATTTTGGCGAACCAAACACATCTTTCGTAAGGTTCCAAGTAAACTCAATTTCTACTGAATTCTCATTAATCATGATTTCTGATCACTAAAAAAATTTTCCTGTACCAAACACACCCTAAGAGAAAGACGATTAGTAACATGATGGGACCTCGAAATGGTACGAGATCTTAAAATACTGTTACAAACTCATACAGCCACCTAACCAAAAAATGCCAATATACATAAGTCAGCTATCCGACAAATAAATGTGTTCCCTGCAGCATACACTTTCTGACTTTCACTAGTTCATTCAACACCACGTGTTCCCCATTTCTTCAAAATACTCATTCTCTAGTACGTTTAAAACAAAAAAAGCACAAAAAAAGGGGAGGAAAGTTTAGAGCAACCACAAGAGTCTCAATCCATTATTTATTTATTTTTGGAGGTTACGTCTCAATCATTTATTAGTATTGATTAAGGAAAATGTATTTGTCATGCTACATGATAAATGAATAGTTGTTATGTTAAAAAAAACAAATTAAATTTATTGAATAATGTGTCATCTCACTTTTTTAACATTATATAATTTGTCTTCTTCTTAACATCACAACTATTCATTTGTTATGCAATATGACAAATGCATTTCCCATTGATTAAACCAACATAAACAAAAACCTACGATTTGCTAAATTTTTAGTGCCTTTGTTGAGCCAAAGCACCCAAAAGGATTGGACACTCCAAAATGTAAGGAACCCAGAAATAGATTATTAAATAACTAATGGAGTAACCGAGACCGTGTTGGTGTCTATGTTCTTCTCACAACCAAGGATTAACAGAGAATGGAAAATTCCAAAGAACAATATTAGTGATAGTCAATCACACTGCTAGGTCAGCTGATTATTATGCGGCAAAGAGCACGCGCATTACGGGGCTTATGTTCTCAAATAATTCATGGGAAAGTGACATTGGATCTGGAATCCTATTTTTCCACATTTGGTTAAAAGATTGTGAAAATATTTTCGAGAATCTGATTTTTCTAATATTCTGATTTGCAAACACTTTTTAAGATAAAATGTCATCTAAGAATACCTCAAGGGGGTGATATTCTTGAATTTCCAAGAAATAAAAAAATATTTTGACCTTCGCATCACTAGCGCCAAGTAAAATTTTCTTCACGTGCCATTAACACGGTGATGGCCCCACTAGCATTAAGTCTCCAAGTAATATTTTATTGACGCGCACCAATAGCATGGTGATGGTACCACTAGCGCCAACAGTGCAATTTTTAAAATCACTCAACATTCTCTATGATATTTGACAATTAACCAAATATAGACTCAGGAAACTTGAATTAACATTCTTGATTATATTTTGGCCTACCAAATAATTTCTGAGGGGATATTCTTATTATCAAAAAAATCTTTTACCAACTCACTACTTACCTAATCATCGTTCAATCAAAGAGACAAAATGTTGAAAAGTTTCTGAAGAGAAAAAAAATGTTGATCCAATGATAATTAGTTAAATAGTGGATTGATAGTAGATATTTTTGGTAGTAGGAATATTTCCCTCATATTTTTTTTTTCATATCCTCTTGAAATTCAATTCCCTAATATATTTTGGGTTTTATTAATCTCATGTTAAAGGAGATAGTTATCTTATGTCATAGAGACAAACTAGTGGGTTCCACCACCTAAAAATAAAAGGTGGCACAATTATCGAAAGATGTGTAGGAAAAAAACTTATGTCATGTGACATAAGAATAATTTTTCCCATATATTTTTGATAATGTGATTTTCAGACCTAAAATCCCCCCCCCCCCCCCCCGTAAACGTTTTTAATAGTGTCAAATCTGCTTTGCTTTCGGTGAACTATCGAATATTTGGACAGATTGTTAGCATGTGCAGTGGTACTTGTGCCTGTGAACTGAAATTTAAATTCGTAATAACATCAAGGAAATCGTGACTTTCATGGTCACGTACGGATGACTTTTGAAGGCTGATTCAACAACCAAGCGTTTGGAGGAGCTTTAAAAAAAAATTATAGCCTATTTTTTAAAAAAAATAATTTTTAAAAATTTAAATTATTTTACATTTAAATAAATTGTATAAAATATACTTTTAAATAAAAAAATTATTTGGAAATTAAAGTTAATAAATACTTTTTATATATAAAGTTATAGTGCATCGAATGACATGTTACAAGACATCCTGCAACTCATTTTTAACTTTGTATTTATAGGAGTACATAGTTGAAATATTAAAATTATTTTTTTAAATTATGTACTCCAAAAGTACATAGTTAAAAAATAATTACAAAAATAAATACCATTCCTATAATATGATTCTTATATTTTCGATAAACTAATCAAAAATGATATGTGATTATAGTGGTGATAGTGGAAAGAAGAAGTCAGAGTGGGACAGAATAACTGGGGTGCAAATTGCAATTGATATAAAATTAAATTTTTATAAGATTATTTAACTTTAAACTTTAGCTTTTTTCAGAAGCAAAAAGCACCAGTTTAATTTCTTTTTGATCTCATCTTTTAAAAAATTTGTTATCTAAATGTATGAAAAGTTTCAAAAAGCCTTTTTTTTGTTGAAAAAAAAAAGCAGTTTTTTTTTTTACATGAACTCATCCAAACTACAACTACAAGTATGTAAATATGGTCACGGATGACTTTTGAGGGCCAAAATATTAAAGGTACATATGCGCGTATAGCTTCATAAATTTCACTTTAAATTTGAATCAAAAAATTCTAAAAATCATTACTATTATTTATTATGTGAGATCAATTCTTTGCTTATGTCAGTCTGTATACGTTAGTGGATTTGCAAAAATAAGAGGCTGGGATACCGTCAAGCATCCGTCTTTGTCAAAATATCTTCCTTACTTCTACAATACTGATTCCTGAACAATCACTGAATCAATTGTTAACAGGAGTGTTAACGAGTCGAGTTGAGCTTTGGTCTTAACAGATCGAGTCTGTGTTTAAATGTATCAGACTGGCCTTAGCCTGTTACCTGTTACGAAGTTACGAATATAATATCAGTCTCTGGCCTGACTCATTTACAAAAAATAAAAGTCTGGTTTAGCTTGTTTTAAAAAAATAAGACAACAAAAATTTACCCAAAAAAATCTACAATTTACCCAAACAAAATCTACAATCAACAGCACTAGTAATTTCATAAATATTCATAAATTTAATGTATATTCAAATAGTATAATATAAAATAAAATCATTCAAAAAGTCTGTTTAATTAATAAAATGGGATGAAATGAATTGAGAAGAGAGAGTGCTATCACAAGTAGTATAAAAAATAAAAAAAATATATATTAGGCAAGCCTGAGAGGCTCTAAGGCCGAGCTTTTGAATTGGAGTCTGAGGCCTCTTTATTAAACGAGCTTTTATACAAGTCCAAGAGTGGGACTAACAATCAATTTTAGACATGTAAGCTCAGACCTTCACGAGCCGAGCCAAAGGCCCCTGGCTCGTTTAGCACCCCTAATTGTTAAACTCCAAAAAAAAAAAAAAAATCACCAATTTTGTGTATTCCATGGACGTTTTTATGGTTAATATTATTAAATTTGATTTTCAGCAGGGTAATGAGAGTTTTTGCTGTGGACCATTACCAAAGGATCAAGCTAGATCAATCTTATAAAATGAGAAATAGATCTTCTCATGTGTAATTTAACATGATCATATCATGTTAGAAGATCTTAACCATTAATAATTGAATATTATAAAATGAGTCCAATATCATATCTCATTACATAATTTTAAAGCATTAAATTTATCGGTTGTCCTCCTTGTTGAGTTTACGTTTGTCACTATCAAAATATACCGACATAATTAAAAAAAGAAAGGTGCTACACGGATGATACGGAATATGCAGTACTAGAAATTAGAAAGCTTTCCTCTTTTCGGTGTTATCTCCTTCTTTTTTTCCTTCTTTTTTCTCGGTGGCTTAATGGATCTTGGCTGTACAATGTAGGATAAGATCTGATAATATAAAATATAATAGTATGAGATCTGAATATATAAGATTTGATTAAATTTTAATAATATTTAGCATTTGTCATAATATTATATAAGATAATGTATTGTATAAAATAATATAGTTTAGAATTTGGTAATGCACTATATAATATTAGATAGAATAAAAATAAATATTTTTGATAAAAATATCCTAAGAATTTATATAATTATTCCAAATATGTCACATAATATTAATTTTTATAAAAATCTATTGATAAGTGTGTCCAAAAAATATAATATATTGAAAAAAATTATTTTAATATATTAATATTAAAATAATATATTACTTCTTGAGAATTACACTAGTCAGCGATTTTAATATATTAATCCCTTAATTATCAGGCTAAATCTCACCCCTTTAGGTCGGATAAGTTATATATCAATTTGATTTATTAAGAGATTATGCTGTATAAACTTATACTATACGATGATCACACCAAACAACTAAACATATCACAATGTACAATATAAATTTATATTATCAGAGCTTATACATCATACCAAACATGGCCTTAGCTTTTTTTATTTGAATGTTTATCTCCTGAATGTTCATGTCAATCCTTTTAGGGGGTGTTTGGTTGGGGTTTTTTTGGATCACCGGAGAAATGTAATTACTAAGAATCTATAGGGAAAATGAATTAGATAGGAAAGTTTAAAAAAAGTAGTTTGGTTGGGCGAAATTTTACTAGGAAAATTTATGAAAGTTTACGAAACCTATGTTTGGTTGAAAGTAAAATATGGATGAGTAAATAATATGAATTTACTAATTTAACCCCAATACAAATAGGATTAAGTACAAGGAAGACACTTCTACTGACGTGTAGGAAGAAGAAGTGTAGGAATATTCTTGATCCTGGCTAACAAGCCTTCCAACGGATAACAATAGATCTCTGATCACTTGGAGATATACTTATTTGCCATGGCTCTACATTTCAAATCGTGTTTTCCCTCCTTTAAACCTCACGTTGTTGCAATCAAAACAGATTTTTCTCAAAGATTTAACCCTGTCAAATTTGATTATCTGCCTACTGTTAACAAGTGGAACATTGTTCAAGAAAACAAGTATATCGCATGGATAAGCTTTGTATGTCCAAAGTTTAAGCACTTACAAATCTTGTTAATCTTCTTTTGGTCAAAACTTGATAAAGATTTTACGTACTTAACGTACCTTGGACTAACTCAGTTACTTTGCAGGATGATCTCAGCATTAAACACGCAAAGAAATTGAAGGTACTTAAACATGTGCTCCGGAATGACGAAAGTTCACTGCAAGGAATGTACATGATTGATGCAATGCAGCGCCTAAATATTGATTACCATTTCCAAGAGGAAATTGACTCATTTTTACGAAGGCAATATGTTATTTACACCAATAGTTGGGATGGCTATGGCCATAATCTTCATCAGCTTGCACTTTGGTTTCGTCTATTGAGACAACAAGGTCACTATGTAACTGCAGGTTAGTTTTTTTTTTTTTTTAAATGAAATTTTCTTCCGAAGTTTAAAAATGATTACTTATGAGACACTAAAAGGTTTATTCATTGGATAAATTCAGAGGTGTTTGAGAAGTTCACAGACGTGGATGGAAAGTTCAACCAAGAACTAGGTGGAAATATCAATGGAATGATAGAATTATATGAAGCCTCACAGCTAAGCATAACAGGGGAAGACATACTTGATGAAGCTGGAAAATTTAGTAGGCATGTCTTGAAGGAAAGGTTGGGTGGCCTTGATGATCATGAAGCTAAGTGTGTAAGGAGTACCTTGGAACACCCTTTTCACAAAAGCCTGCCAATGTTCACCGCTAGAGATTTCTTTGGAGATTTCCATGGCATGAATCGATGGTTAGGTTCCTTAAAAGAAGTGGCAAAATTGGATTTCAGTTTGCTGCAACGCTTCCACCAGCAGGAAATTATTCAAATTTCCAAGTAATTCTGCTAACTTGATATGGGAGACTAGTTTATTTTACCATTAATTACTAAGGATAGTCCTCATAGTTCATCCTTTTCTCTTTTTTGTTTTTTTCTGGTAGATGGTGGACAGAACTTGGTTTAGCTAATGAGTTAAAGTTCGCCAGAAATCAACCACTGAAATGGTACATTTGGTCCTTGGCATGTCTCCCCGGTCCTACTTTATCAGAAGAAAGGGTTGAGCTCACAAAACCAATCTCTTTCATCTATATATTAGATGATATTTTCGATGTGTATGGAACTCTTGACGAATTAACTCTTTTTACGGAGGTTGTTTCCAGGTACATGCCAAAAACTTCTTACCTATTTTATATCATTAAACTTCTTACCTATTTTTACGGAGGTTGTTTCCAGGATTGAGATATGGTGTCAGACTGATTTGGTGAGTTTAATCTAACTTAGTCCAATTGACCCACCTGAAAGTGATACTAGAGAGGGTTGGGCTTAGAGTTGTCAAATGTTTAGCTAGAGGTGAGAAGAGGCTTCCATTGAGAGAAAGCATATCAATGTTAACTTCACATTCGAGGGAGAGATCATTGATTGCTGAGATTTTTAAGAATGATGACATTAAACTTAAAGTTTTGAATTTAGAGAGATGCGCCTCAGAGTTAATGTATTAATATGTATTTGGGCTGACCAGCCCAAATAATATGGATTTATGGATATATGACATTGAAGAGATTGTGATGAACATTGAAGATAATTCTATGATGTAAATTTTAAACAAAAAGAAAAGAATATAATTGGTTTTTGGTGAATGTAGATGGGATATCAGAGCTACTGAGCAGCTACCGGATTACATGAAGATATGTTTCAAGGCACTTTATAATCTGACTAATGAAATCAGCTCCAAGGTCTATGAGAAAAATGGATGGGACCCTACTGACTCTCTTCGTAGGATGGTAAGATTAATCAGTATCAAGAAAACCCACACAGCTTCTTTATTAGTATACAGTGTCATGATTATTACAGAATGTGATATAGATTGTCCATTTTCTGCAGTGGGAGAGTTTGTGCAAAGCCTTCCTCGTTGAAGCAAAATGGTTTGCTTCTGGAAACTTTCCAAGTGCTGATGAATACTTAAAGAACGGGATAGTTAGCTCTGGAGTGCACATTGTGCTCGTTCACATTTTCTTTCTTTTGGGTCAAGGTTTAACCAAGGAAAATGTTCAGATCATAAACAGAATCCCAGGCATTATTTCTTCCTCAGCAACAATTCTTCGGCTTTGGGATGACTTGGGAAATGCAGAGGTAATGGATAATATTATAAGGTTTAAAGTTTTTCACGTAGCTGTATCTCATATACGTATAAAATTACGCGGGGTATATATAGAACCATATAAAAAGAATAAAAAAAAAAAAAATGTTCCACACGCATTTATGTATTAACAAATTATTATTATTTTGATAAACTGGATTTACAAAATTTAAATAGTGAAGTAGTGTTATAGTATAGCCACAAAAGCTGAAGTAAACAAATATCAACGAATGCTCAAATCAGTACGAGAACAGTCAAGCCACAGGATGAGAATCTTATTCAGATACGAGCGTTATTTGTGTGGTCCCGGCGCCCCAAAAAATTTAGTAGATAGGATGAGAGAGAGAGAAGAGATAATTAAAATGTTTTTTTATCCAACTGTCACACTCTTGATGGAAAGATCACCAAACTCCTTGACCATTATAAAATTTTTCGAACGTCATTGAAAAAATAGTGAAAAGTTCAGTTATAAATATTTTATGGATTTAATATTTATGATTTTAAAAGACATATATCTTTTTAACAATTTTACATTATGTTTTATTGATAAAAATATAATTATAATATGAAAAATTATTTTTTTTACTTCTCGCGTCAGTTAATGTGATTAAGGAGAGAAAAAAATAATTTTTCATATTAATATTATATCTTACCAGTAAAACATAGGAAAAAACTATTCTCATGTCACATGAGATAAGTTTTCTCTCCTATACCCTCTTCGATAACTGTGTCACTTTTTTCTTTTCTTTTCTTTTATTTTTTCAGATGGTGGAGCCCATTAGTTTGTCTATATGACATGAGATAACTATCCCCTTTAACATGAGATTAATAAAACCCTAAAACATAATGTAAAACTACTAAAATATACAAGTTATATTCTTTAAAAGACATACATTTTTCTCATAATTTTTTTTTTTGGTATGCACTTTTTCTCATATTTTATGTTGGGTTATATTTTTCTTATTACATGAGAGAAACAATTTTTTTATACACAAAAAAGAGGAGTGGGTCTCACAATTCGGTCTCACTTATAATTTTATTTTTACAACACGAAGTAACTATTTTTTTACATAAGAAAAATATTTTCCTTTTATGTTATGTGAAAGTTCTCCCAACTTTTTTAAAAAAAGAAAAAGAAAAAGAAAACTGAAAAAATGTCATTTTCGCCTCTTTCATATAAAACGTATACTCACAATTTTCATAAACAAAGGTAACATTTTTTAAATGGGAAGGATCCGTCTACAAACTTACAAACTACCAGTAGCGGAGCCACATAGTAGTTGGGAGTGGCCTTGACCCGAGCTAAATTTTAATAAATCGTACTTATTATATATATGTTAGAGAATATAACATAAATAATTAAAAAGACTCTCACCTAACACCCTCACTTTTAGGTGGAATTAAAAAAAGCACAAGCAGACCAAAAAAATAGGCTTGTGCAGAACAAGGCAGACCAACAATGGGTTTGTGTCATATCCACGCTTCAAGCCCAAAGGTCTCTTGCGTAAGGGAGTGTGTTAGAGAATATAATATAAATAATTAAAAAGACTCTCACCTAACACCTTAAGGTTTTGGGTTGAATTGACGCTTAACAATATGATTATATAATTAATTATAAGTTGGCCCGGGCTAAATTTTATATTTAACCCTATCTACAATTTAAAATATATTTGATAAGAGATTTAGGTAATTGTATCAGGTTATGTTTTCAATTCTCACTTTATAAAAATTTTTAATAAAACTATAACTTTTCTTAGTGCTGCCTGCTCAGGTACTTTGTACTTAACATAATTTAAATATATTATATATGAACTAATTAAAATTAAAAAAAATACACATAATTTTTAGCCCGAGCTCCAATTGAAGCCCGGTTCCGTCACTGCAAATTATACTATATCTGATCGGTAATACTTTACCCAACCAAAAGTGTATTACCGGTCAGACATAATATAGTTTTTAAACAAAAAAATTTATAAATATAATTTTTTCTTTTTTTAAATTTGCAAATATTGAAAGTTAGAATTACATACTTTTAAAAAAAACTTTTCTAAGAATTTATGCAAAAATACCTGTCACCCTATTTTCAAACAGTGTATGTGGAAAAAGCGTTGGTACTAAAACAACATCAATGAGAAAATCTCAATTTGAAGCATATACATGTCGATTAAGAAGGAAAACCTATAAGAAAAACGAAATAAATTATCAGATATCATTCTCATATGTTTTGTAATTACTTTTATGACTGAAGGATGAGAATCAAGAAGGCAATGATGGGTCATACGTGAATTATTTCTTGATGGAACACCAAGACTTGTCGTTGACAATAGCAAGAGAGCAGGTTATGAGTATGATCTCTGATGCGTGGAAAAGCCTCAACCAACAGTGCCTGTTTGAAAGCACATTTCCTACAGCATTCACTAAGGCATCTCTCAATCTTGCAAGGATGGTACCATTGATGTATTGTTATGACGATAAGCATTCTCTTCCAAGGCTAGAGGAGCGAGTCCAGTCCTTGCTTTATGATAATGTTCTACTGTAGTACTATTGCGTAAATCCCTCATGTATTCAGCTAATAAATAATTCAAGTTGTTCTTTACTTGTCACAGCTGATTGAGGGAAAGAGTGATTGGAATTGGAAAATTAGATGTTATGGGACTGTTCGACACCCAAGTAACGGTTACTAAAAAAAATGCTAAAGGCACAAAAAATCATAATAAAAATCTTTTTATACAATGATGTACCATATTGAACTAATTTAACATTTCCTTGTTTTAACAATTATTCTCATATATACACTCAACATTTATATTATTTAGATATTTAAAGTTATTGCTCAGCCTTACTTTAAAAAGAATTATAACGGGCAAGACTCTTCGACGCCTTTAATTATTGGCTAAAGTACAACTTACCTCTTGAACTTTGACCATGTTTTAAATTACCATCATATACTTTTAATTGTTTCAATTAACACCCTATATTTTATGAGATTGTAGCAAATCAACAACTCGGTTAAAATTTTCACAAACGATGTTAAACCTTATGTATGAGCATGTTGCAACTTGCCAATGAAGTATCCACTTTCCTCGGAGATTCAGTCTACTAGCCACTCCTAATTATGATGATGTTCGATTGCACTGCTTCAACAGAACACTAACAACCACTCCATGAACTGTTGGTTTTTCCCATAAATTGTTTTAAAATATGATTTCTCTTACCATTGTGAGTAGTGTCGTAACTCATTTTGACACTTTGGGTGCTGCTATTAGCGTTGATGTTACTACTGCTGGTGCTACTGCTATTTAGACTAACATTATTTTTATTAGCATTGTTGGTACTACGAACCTTTAAGGTCTTGCAATCCGATCTCAGGTGCAGGAACCACACCCAAACGAAAAAACTCCCATGATTTTCTACCCTTATTACCAAAACTTGCTTGTCTTGGAACGATTACTCTGAACTAAGGTTTGGGACTTGGATGCGTGTGAAATTGATTTTGAACTTACAATTTGACTCCATCTCACAGAAGGTATAGATTCGGTTATTGGATGACAAGGTGGAATGTGGGAAGGGATAAATTATAAGATTAGGATTTATAGTCAGAATTTTAGACGAACATATTTGAACAGGAGAGGGTGGTGTGTCACATACTAGAATGAAAGAGAGAGGCTTTAGAATGAAAGAGGTTTGGGCAAGTGTGGTTTAACGCCATTTGTGAAAATTTTAACAATTGATTTGATACAATCACAAAATATAGGAAGTTAATTAAAACAATTGAAAGTATAAGGTGCTAATTTAAAACATAGTCAAAATTCAAGGAAGTAAGTTATATTTTAACCTTAATTATTTTTTGGAGAACTTACCGATGACAGTGGAGTATACAAATATTGGGACAGGTTGATTGTTAGCACTGGGGTACAATGGTGCTTGTGCTTGTGCACTAAATTTGGTGAAGGAAATTGTCGCTCTCGCGCGTGCTCTCCGATTACTTCTGAAGGCTAAAATATCTTCAGCAATCATAATTATAGCTACCTATGCACGTATAGCTTCATAAATTTCACTTTAAATTTGAATCACATAATTGTAAAACAATCATTTCTAAAAAAAATAATTGAGGTCAATTATTTGTTTATGTTACTCTTTGCCGTCTCCGTTACTTGCGAAAGCAACAGATTGTGAGATGCTCTATAGCTTTGCCGTTACAAATTGACACGGGAAGTTGGTGTTTACATGCAAAATATCACATAGAAGTTGTTTTCGAACACTCAGGTGAAATCTTTGGTAGTTTTCAGAGCAATATGTAACTGAAATAGAGTAAAATGTGTCGTGCGTAGTGGAAGAAAGAATAGACCCTCTGATAAACCAAAACAAAGATGTCTCTTCCAGCATGTGGAAAAATTATGGACCCATGTGATGATGGCCTACCAGTGATGTTATATACCGGAACAGTGACCGTTATGTCACTGTTCTCATTCTTTATTACCTAAATACCACGTCAAGAGACTTTTTCCCAAACTGTCACGAGGGCAAGTTCGCTAGACAAAGAGGCGAACTCGGATTGATGATGCGTCAGCTTTCTGGTGATGTCCAAGTTCGTTACCTGATGTAACGAACTTGTTTGCAATAAATGCTCCTGCATTTTTTCACCTGCCCAGACACGTGGCAGACAGAAGTGAAGATCGCTGGGCATGCTGGCGAACTCTTCCCAACAGCTACAATGACATGTGGCAACCATGCACCAAGTTCGCTGGGGTGGGCAGCGAACTTGGTGCAACAGATACATCTCCCACCCCTTGTATAAAACCCCCCTCCCCATTTCTCCAACCCACCTCGTCTCTCCATCTCCTCTCTCCCTCTCACTCTATCTCTTTAATATTTTCTCTTCCTCATTGTCTTTCTTTGTCAACATTTAAGGTTAGTATTTAATGAATTTTTTTTATAGTTTAATGTATTGTATTTAAATGTTGTTAATAAATATGTTTAGCATGAAACCATAGGTTAGTTGACTTTATAACTTTATGTATTGTATTTAAATATTCTTAATAAATATTATTAGCATGAAACCTTAGGTTAGATGACATAATTGTGACAATAGGGTATACCAGTGAAGTCGCGGCTTTGCGATGATTGTTGCATATATCACTCCAAAGAAATGGTAGTTAAAAGAATAGTTGTAAATAATCAATTCAACCCAAGAATTTAAGCTATTGGATGATGATACATTAATGATTTTATATATCTCAACAATAGTTGTTTTCATCCAATAAAAAAGAGAGTAGTAGTTTTAGGACACGAGAATATATGTCAGTTTTCAGAGAAATAATTAAGATGTAGACAAATGCATTGTTGTTAGAGTGATGTATAGGGATGTTAAACGATCCAAGGGCTTTTGGCTCGGCTCGTGAAGGCCTGAGCTTATATGTCTAAAATTGATTGTTGGCATCTGGCTTGAACTTGTATAAAAGTTCGTTTAATAAAAAAGTCTCAGGCTTCAATTCAAAAGCTCGGGCTTAAAGCCTCTCAGGCATACCTAGTATATTATTTTATATTTTTTAAAGTACTTGTAATAGTCATCTCTTTCTCCTCAATCCATTTCACCTCATTGTATTGGTTAAACAAATTTTTTGAATGGTTTTGTTGTATATTATGCTGTTTGGATATACATTGAATTTATGAATATTAATAGAATTACTAGTGTTGTTAATTGTATATTATGTTTGGATAAATTTTTGTTGTTTTATTCTTTTTAAACAGACTAAACCAGGCTTTTATATTTTGTAAATAAGTCAGGCCACATGCCGATAATTATATTTATAACGGGTAACAGGCTTGGTCATGCATGCTGACACATTTAAACACAAACTTAAGACCAAAGCTCGGTTCGGTTCGGCTCGACCCGTTAACACCACTAGTGAGTATAATCGTACCTAAAAACCTTATACCTAGGCTATTCCTCGATTAACCACACAATAAGCGATACTGATTCATAATTAAATCGATCGTCAGTTAATTAAGTTTACCAAAGGTATATAGTTTTAAGGGTAATTTATTACTGTTGAATTTGTAGCAGTAGTGGAGCCACAGATAAAACAATACAATTAATAAATCAGAATAATATTTTTGCAGTTATTGCATATAAGTTATCTGTATTTATTCTGAAAATGACATCGTTTTGAGATTAAAAAACTAAATAATTATAATTATAAAACTATAATGACCTTGAAATAAATTAAAATTACAAAAACACCATGATTTTTGCTCGAAACGACATCGTATTTGACTTACTGTAGATAACTTATCTTATCTGCAGTAACTGTTGAAAAAACCAACCCTTAATAAATATGATCTCTTGGGGCTGTTGATTTCCGTTGAGAAATTATGTACCAACAATTAATTAACAAATAGGCTATATGATGATGCCTTCCATGAATGTTATATCAGTGAAGATCTATTACCTACTAAATGTTGACACTAATTAAATCATGTTTCTATTTTTAATGTTTAATCATAGAAAAAATATTTTTAAAGGTTGAGATTCTATGTGGTTTCAAAATCACAAAAAAAAAAAAATGTGGAGGATTTTGATTCATCTTGGGTTAGTAACAAAAACATGGATTATGTAAGTTAAATATGCAATTTCATAGAATTAATTTTAAAAATGAATTAAGAAGAAGTTGGTTTGGAAGCTTTTTCGTGGGTTATGATCATATAGATTTTTTTTAGGGGATTAGATATTATACTTGTCTTTTTTCATGTTTACTCTTTTCAATACTATTATATTAGATTATGATTTAACGGTATCGAAAAGGAGTATGTAGAGTAGGTATAAAAAAAGTAAGTTAATATCCTATCATTTTTTTAGTTATATATAGTTTTGGAGGAAAATATTTATTGTTTTAAAGTATATAATTTTGTTTATTTTAAGTGAAATGACCCTAGTGGTTTTTTTATCTTTGTATTGTGAAAGAGAGAAGGAAAAAAAGTTCACCAATAAACAATCATTTTATTTAAAATAATATAAAATTATTTCTTTTAAAATGATAAATATTTTTCGATAACTTTTACAAATTAGTTTGATATATTGAATTCTTTCTTTTTTTTAAGTTAGAAGTTATTACTAAATTAAAGCTAAAAAAAAAGTCAAAAGTTGTTTGGTTATTACAAAAAAAAATTAATTTGAAATTTTTTTAAAAGCACATATTTCAAAAAAAAGTCTTTCTTTCTATTTTTATGGCTCTCCTTTATTTAAAAAAATTACACAATTCAAGAAAAGTTGATAAGAACTTGAAAAAAAAACTCCTCTAAAATTTTTTGACTTTTGATTTTTTTTCTTTATTATAAAAAAAAATTTCATTATAAGACATTTTATTAAAATCTGTTTGCCCTAATTTTTAGAAGAAAAATAAAAAATAAAAGAATCTAAAGAAATACATTGTAGTAGCTGAATACAGAGTTGTCCAAAACAAGCGTTTATTCTGTGCTCTCGAAACACGTGAGCCGGTTAGAGAGAGGAAGGAGAAGAGAGGGGAGAGAGGAAAAAAG